ATCATTAGTCATGTAAAATTATTAATGTATTAAATCAGACTTGTCTCTATAATTTTAGTTTTCTGTGGAGAAACAGCAAAAAAACTTATTTAAATCATTGTAAGCTCTAAGTATATATATATATATATATATATATATATATATATATATATATATATATATATATATATATATATATATATATATATATATAATTAGCTTCTAACTAGTAAAATTCTGTAAAGGATTGGTGTAAAATTGTTTTGGTCATTTTATTTTATTTTTCTTTGTTTGTAGTAAAAGTTTTTGCTTCATCCAGCAGCTCAGGTCAATCAATTAGAAGGAAACTTTTTTTTTGTCAGTACACAATTTATTTATTTTTTTCTCAGTTTGATTTATAATAAATACAACCATAATAATAATAATATTATGTTAAATTAAATGTTAAATCAAATGTTCAAATTTCACCTGCAGTTGCGCTTTTCATGCACCAGGGGAGCGCAAGGGAGCAAGGTCCTAGCCCCTCCCATATGCCGTCCCCCTGCGTCCTGGCCCTCCCACATCCTGCCCAGTCCCCCTCCCCACTGCCCCACCCTGCCATCTGGTGCTTTTCACACAATGGCGTGCCCGTGGACACATGCACGTACGCACACACTGTAGGGAATCTTTTCTCCTCATTTCCTTTCACAGTGGAAAAACAGGATGAAGGGGCTCTTTCAGCCTTGAGGTTACCCTGGAAACTCCTTTATTCTTCTCCTGTCAAACTCTTACATTGCAACACCAACACTTCTATATAGAGTGACAGAATGGAAGTTTAAAGTTTAAAGGGACCAGAGCAACAGCTGTCTCTCTGTCTGTCATAGTTGACACAAAGAGCAGCTTTTCCCTTCATTTTTTTATGTTGTCTTTCTTTCATAGTTTTAATAGTTTTATACTTCTAAAGTTCTAAACTAAAACCATGTGAAGTTCTTTATAATTTCACATGGTTAAATTTCCATGAAATACTGAAGATTTGGCACAGGATCCGTGTATGTATGTGTATTTTTCTTTCTCTGGATCACATTCAGAAGCTTTTTTTTTTTTTCAAAAATAACTTTTCAGCTCAGGGATATTGATGTTTAAACTCAGCTCCCTCTTCTCAGTTTCTGTTTAGACAGCTTCCAGACCTGGAATGCAGAGTGGAAAAAGTTAGGTTGGTATTATATAAAGTTAATATGAGGGTTTTCTTCCATCTTGCCACAAGGGGGTCCATGAAAAACTCTTGATGCTACAAATGTACAATGAAACACATCATCTGTAAGCTTTTAGCGGGTTAAAAATAAACCACTGGGATCTACAAACAGGGAGTGGTGATGAGAGGATGAATAGGCTACATGAAAAGGCTGAAAAAGCCATAGTGAAGAAAAAAGATTTTGCTTTATGAAAGAGGGATGAAACTTCTTTTGAGTGTATGCTTTAGGTTCAGCTTGGCCAGATATGAAAGAGTTTTATGTTCTTTTTAATTCCTTTGTTTGTCTCGCTTTCTACCCCTCCTTTTCTTTTTATATTTCTTTTTTTATGTTTCAACTAAGCCTGGCTCCACATTTCTCTTCACTCCACATTTTTGTCCTTTTAAGGAGTGAGGAAATGAGAATGGAGAGCTAGCTGAAATGGGGTGAAGGACACACTCTCTGAGCTCACTAACTGATAAACAAACTCCTCTTTGTGCAGACTGACACACAAACACCGACACACAGTTTGTTACGTATTGACAAAATCCCCATCATGACTTGGCTCCGCGTGATTCTGCTGAAACCCGCTCCTTTTCCTTTTCCCCCCTCCAACTTTCTGCATTTTTTTTTGGTCTCTCCACATAATTAAAAGCAGATGTCAGCAATGGAAGAATTTCTACCATGACACACACACACAGCCCCTGCCAGTGTGAGTTCACACACAGACAAACACACACACACACACACACACACACACACACACACACACACACACACACACACACACGGTGCCAAGCAGCTGTCGAGGGGAGAAGAAGGTGGGGGTGTTCCAGGAAAGGAGGATTGTGTGTCTGCCTGTTTTAAGGCAAAGTTGATTTGTTTTTTGCAATAAAATCTGTTTTTTTGTTGACTACCAACAAAACAGACTATAAAAACATTTCTGTCATGTGTTTTCAGCACTCCACAATTGTTTTGTGCTGGAAATGTTTATATGTGTGTGTGTGTCTGGTCAGACATGTGTTCTGCCTCCATCATCTTTCTTTCCTCCCCCACTATGACTAAGTGTAACAGGATGCAGTCCTCTGTAGTCACCGCCAGAGGTGCCATCGGCTCATAAATGAAAAGCCCTTGTACATGTAGAAATCACAGAGCAGCCATTTTACAGTCTGCACACCAGACCCCATTTTATGAATCAGCAGTGATGTCAACACAGCTCAAGCTGATTCTATTGGCTAAAGCGCAGCCTGAGCTTTTGCTCTGTACATCCACACATATGGTTCAGTTCTGGGTCTGCCTCTCTGAGACACACACACTGACCCACTGACATGATGCTCCACTGGGTCACCAGTCCTGCTCAGAGGGATTTTGTACTGTCCCAAGTCTGTGCTGTAGTTAGGCCTGTCACAATAATAAATTTTGCTGCATGATAAATTGTCCCAGAAGTTATTGCAATTGCAGTATAATATTACTATATAATATATATATAATATATAATATAATATAATATTCTCAAAGATTAATAAATGTTAAATTTGGATGAACATTTAACAATGGAACTGAAAGACACTTCTTAAATACTCAAAATAAGTAGAACAGAAAAAAAACAAAATAAATTATGACGTCTTTAACAAAATTGTCTTTCAAAAACAGTGCTAATTTACACTAATGCACCAAATTGAAAACTTTTGTCATCCAATTTTGTTAGAAAGAGGGAGAAAACAGTTAAGTTGTGAAAGTAGAAATTGTTGAGCTGTATGATGTATATACATATACATGCCATGATGTATGTTTTAATACATCATGCTACTTATTGCTTGTTGTGTAATGCCCAGCTGTAGTTTTTACTTTTCTTACAGATTTGCTGAAACATGGTTACTGTTGAATGTTGTAGATTTTCCTACTCCTGTTTGTAAAAATAATTTTTCTCCAATTTTGTTTCTTGCAGTTGTGAAACTTGGTTAAGAGATATAGATTTCTTTTAAATCTCATCTCTCCTCTTCCTGTTATATCTTCAGCTGTGGCTTGCTGTGGTTATGTCTTTGTGCAAAGATGTTATTTCCTCATTGATGTGTGGATTTTCCTATCCTGTGTCTATATTGGCTACCTTCCTGTCTTAGTTTCCTGCAGGGATTGTGAGAAGAATTGGATACACAATGGTGCTTTATATGGTAACCATGGCTGTTTTCATAATCCCAAATATACTAAAACAATAAAAATTGTTTGTTCTTGAAACGTTCTTGTTATCTCTGTGAGTTAAGTTTCATGAAGTGGAAGCTACTGCTGAGGCAAATGATCTTAAACCCAGTGACACACTCTTCTCCCTCTGTGTGTCTAAATGAGGACATAGTGTCCTCATTAGGACCATTGGCAGTTCGCAGACTGTTGAACTGACTGCCGTCTCTCATTCAGACAGAGGACTCTTTGACCGGATTTGTGGATGGATCAGTGAATGAATAGAGTTGTTATCCTGTGGCAATTATGTGACTGTGTCGTAACTGTTGACACTCCCACTGTTTGAATCAGGCCTCTTCAATACACTGTGCACCATGATGATAAAGAAATTAATGCATGAAGGCTGTGCAAAAAGCAGGTTGGGTTTTGTGCTACTAATACAAGTGAAAATAGATTTGTCTGTTTGATTCCCTGTCCTTTTTTTGTACGAATTGCAATGCTTTGCTTTGGTAGTACTTTACATCAAGGTGTAGAAGCGTCATACAGGAGAGCTATGAGTCATCCTGACCAGCAGTGCTCTAGAAGTTCTCATTTAACAAGAACTAGTTCTAAGGTCAATTTGAAGAGCTTGAAACAGAGCTAGTACATGATCACCTTTAAGCACTTAAACATAAGATGGTTTCAGGTCATGACATTGATATTTAATGTGTATCTAAATCGTGTCCTCATCTAGCATTTTCATCCTGGCCTTTTCACTTAAAAACATCAACTTAATCATGTCTTGTTCTTTTCGTTCATCTAAATGTGGTGTGTGGTGGCAGAATTCTCCATAAACCCGCTCCTATCTACTCACTTAGGGATAACCCAAAACTTAGATGTGAGAGCAGTCATTTTCTATCATTACAGAAATTAAAAACTGGTACAGAAAAGGATGGGCGCTTAATAGTTTTTTACTTTGAGTCCTTAAACTTTTGAGGCATTGTCAGTTCTGTGATCATAAATTAATAAGCAGTGATTGATTAGATATTTCCTGACAGGAACAGCAAGACAGCTGTGACATCCAGAACTCTGCTGACCTTAGACCCAATGTGCCTGGAAACAGCAAGCTGTTATGTGGCCAAAGCCCATGTGACTGTTCATCTTTCACTCCTAATTCTCATCCAGTTCATATCCACCCCCACACTGACACATCCTTACAGTCACAACTCTGACCTTGTCAGAACCAGTTAATCTAAAGAGTCTCTTCTCAGTGTTTGTGTGTGTGCAGATACATAAGTTTAATGCAATCTCTGAATGCCCCACAGTAAACAGATGTCTGGCCACGTTTAAAAAGCCCAAGCTCAACGGAGACGTTACCCACATTTTTAAGCCATTTCACGTTAGTTTGGAATTACCCGGGGCAGCTCAAACAAAAATCCAACACCTCAGTGACATCATACAGTTGGACGAGAGTGAAAACGGCAAAGGCCATACCAACGTTGTCACTTTTTATATGTATCACACAGGCATTGTGATGCATATTAATCTATCAATTTTTATCTTTTAGAAATACTTATCATACACCTATTTAAGCTCCACAGTTGCCTTATATGAATAAGAAGGTTTGAATGACCTCTTCTTTTCTTTTATTGTCTCCAGTTAAAAAAGACCAGGATGGTGGACAGGAAAAGCAGACACAGAAGAAGAAGGTGAAGGAGCTAAAAGTTCTTGATTCGAAGTCTTCACAAAATCTCTGTAAGTCACTTATACAGGAAAAAAAATAAGCTAGAAGTACTTTTCTTTTGTTTTTGTTCATGAGGCAATGTTTTTCTTTGTCTTCTTCATGTAGCAATTTTTCTGGGTTCATTCCGTCTTCCTTACGAGGAGATCAAGAATGCAATCTTGCAAGTCAATGAGAAGATTCTCACAGAGTCCATGGTTCAGGTACCAAGATCAGTCTACCAAAGAGGTCAAAGGTTATGTTTAGGTTTCCATTTTTTATGCAATGTTCCCTCTTAGTCAGTACAAAAAGGGATAAGCTTCATCTAATTGTAGGTTCTTCAGCTAGATGCCATTTTATTTTATATTTGCACCCGATAAAAAAAAGTTGCCTTGTCTTTTAAAAATTACACATAATAGGATGCAGTTATATAAGTCTAAACTCTACATGTTTGTTCATTTAATTTTCTATTTCCTCCATGTCTCAGTATATTTTAGAAATAGACAAGCATTGGTAAAGTACTAACTTAAGGCATACATGAATATAATCTTCCATTTTGGTCTCTGTCTCACATAGAACCTGATAAAACAGCTTCCGGGTCCTGAGCAGCTAAGTGTCCTTGGAGAGATGAAGGATGAATACGACGATCTGGCTGAGTCTGAACAATTTGGAGTAGTGGTAAGAAATTATCATCACACACAAATGCAAATAAATATAAAACACGATGAATGAAACACAAGATATGCATATATGCATATTATGGTATATTTGGTGTTTGAACTCTTAAAATAAGCAGATGTAAACGTTTTCAGAGGGAGTCTTGTGTATTTCTGGGTTTTAGCTATTCAGCAGATGTGATCCCTAACCCCTGCGAATACTGGAGTCTAATAAATTATACATAGTCGTTTTGTTTTTTTGAACAGCTTATATGGCAACTGGTATAAGTATCCAAATGTTCTGGCCCTACTAGTTTAATTTATATATATATATATATATATATATATATATATATATATATATATATATATATATATGTGATGTCTAAGCCCAAACATGCCAGGGACATTGATTTGACATCATCACAATTAAAATGTCGAGACTGAGCAATGCCAGTGTACAGGACACAAAATATTTTCATGCCAACAAAGAAAGCTTATATTGTTCAGCTGTCTTAGATTGACTGTTACTAATGCACATCTGTGTTAATACACACACTCACTCACATACTGGCAACCACTGCACCAAGAAGGGCCCTCTAATCCTCCATACTCTGGTTTCTCCAGATGTCCAGTGTGAAGCGACTGATGCCACGGCTTCAGGCCATCCAGTTCAAGCTGCAGTTTGAAGAGCTGCAGAACAACATCAAGCCAGATGTGGTGGCTGTGACGGCTGCCTGTGAAGAGCTCAGGAATAGCAACACATTTGCCAACCTGCTGCAGATCATCCTTCTAGTTGGGAACTACATGAATTCCGGCTCTCGGAATGGAGCTGCATTCGGCTTCTCCATGTCCTATTTGTGCAAGGTGAAGAATAGACATGTTATTTAGGGGGAAATGGATACCTAATCCTATGTCATGTTATGGTACACCCACTAGCCTCAGTGCATTTTCTTTTTGATGTTATAAAGCAACACAAACCAACTGTAAAATTATTTTTTCAGCAACAAAAGATCTGAAAAGTGTGGAATCAATTTATATTCAGCTACTTGTATCAGGGCTTTGCAGAACCCACTTTTACTGAAATTAAAGCCACAAGTCGCTTTGGCTTTCTCTGCCACATTTCCACATGAAATGACCTTTTACCATTTACCTAGTGAGAATTCAAACTGAGAAGCATCTCTCCCCCTAACATATATCCCGTACTTCCTTACGCTATGTGCATCACCTTGTGATTGTGCAGGAATCCTTGCTACCTCTCTCCAAGCCTAACTAGATTTCTTCTATGTAGCTTATTGTTAGCTTTAAGTTTAGATGAATTGTTATGTTCATCTGTAAGTTGCTTTAAATAACAGGTGTCCGCCAAATGCAGAAACATAATTTTCAATTTCTTGCCACAAATTCTCATTTGGATATAGGTCTGCGGTTGGACTTTGCCATAGAAATTAATAAAATAGAAATAACCTTTATTGTCCCTACATGGGGAAATTCAGATCAAACCGCACCTGAATTTGGCATGTCATCTTTTTTTTTTTTCCTTTTTACTCTTATTTATTTTTCAGCAAAGTCCATCCATATTTTTCAGCAAAGTCCTAGGCCATAGAGCTAAAGCTCTTTGGCCTAGAGCTTTAGCTCTAGGCCAAAGCTCTAGAGCTAAATCTAGAGCTGGATTCATTATCAAATCTCCAGATTTGATAGCGAAGGGAGCAGAATACAAATGCATGCCACACTTCTCAGATCATCACATAAGATGCAATACACTAAAGTTCTGGAGATATAAATATCTCTAACACAAATTTGGCAGTAATTTCATCAGCCAACTAATTTTACACAGTTTATTCCATTCAAATTTTAAGATATTTAAAATTTGAATGGAATGTGTTAAGTAATTTATCTGCACATCAGTGCCTACATCCTGTTAACTTCCCCACTCAAAGTCAGACTCAGGAAAACAGAAAACAAGCAGACATTTGATTATTTGATTGATTTTTCCATGTGATCCTTTTTAAAATCTATTGTTTTCCATTAGCTGCGCGACACCAAGTCAGCTGATCTGAAGCAGACGCTGCTCCACTTTCTTGCTGATGTTTGCAATGAGCAGTATCCTGATGTCATGAAATTTCCTGAAGAGCTTATTCATGTGGAAAAGGCCAGCAGAGGTATATAGGGCACTTAGCCTTTAATCCAGTTTAAGCAATTAACTATCCACTTCACCTGGTTTTACCTACAAGACATGTATCTAAGATGGTTGAGGCTTTTTTTTACTGTCATCTCTATGTGATAAATGAAATGTATTCATAGTAGGACATGTGTGAAAATGATTTCAATATTTAAAGCTTATTATTATTAGCAAATATTGAATATTTCTAATGCAATCTGACATGGTCATATTACAGTCCTAACATTTTTTTTGTCATTTAGTTTCTGCAGAGACAATTCAGAAGAATTTGGAGCAAATGGGGCGTCAGATCAAAAGCCTGCAGAAAGATCTGGAAACTTTCCCTCCTGCACAAAATGAAAATGACCATTTTGTTGAAAAGTTGTCTATATCCTTTGCCCGTCTGATATAATACCAGTATTCTTATAAGAAAAAAACACAACAAATGTTGTATTATTTCAACTACTAGCTCTCTGTAATGTGAGTTTACCTTAACTGTATGATTTCACAGTTTTGTAACCTACGCTCAAGAACAACACGAGAAACTGGATGGAATGCATAAAAATATGGAGAAGCAGTACACTGAACTTGGAGACTACTTTGTCTTTGATCCAAGAAAGATTTCAGTGGAGGAGTTCTTTGGAGACCTCCACAACTTCATAAACATGTTTCAGGTGTGTGCTTGGAAAAAATGGTGGTTTTAGTTTAAATGCTGAAATCTTTACAGATGGTGTATAGAAATCGAGTTTGAAATGTCATAGATGACAGGCAATTAAAACCACACTTCAGTCATGTTTGTTTATTCTGTGGTTTAACTATAAATTGGCCTCAGAAATTTACTTGTTTTACCTGCTACAGATTGCAACCATCGGTCTGCTTTTGAAGTTTTATTTACATTTCACACCTTCTTCAGATGCCTTTTTACTCATGATGCATAGACATTAAATACTTCTTTCTATTCTTGCACTGCCTTAGTTATATTTGCTGTGTTTGTTTTCTTTCTCTTACAGCAAGCGGTGAAAGAGAACCAGAAAAGGAAGGAAGCTGAAGAGAAGATCAGGAAGGCCAAGCTGGCTAGAGAAAAAGCAGAGAAGGAGAAAGAGGAGAAACTGAAAAGAAGCCAGGTTCCCGACATCAACGCAGGTCATGATTGCAGAGTCTTTTATCTTTACCTGTGTCTGACTGAAGCAGACTCACACAATCAGCATCTCTGAATTTGTATTTCTCTCACATTCCAGTTGGGGGCAGTCAGAGTCCACACTTCTGTGTAATATATTTGTGTGTCAGTGTGTGAGTGTAGACAATGAAGTAGTGGTATATTTATATACCAGAGTTAATCTGATGTTGATGACAGTTTGAAGCAATGACCAATGAATCTTCAGATAAAGTGAAGACACAGAGGTGATACAAGTAACGCCTTGACCCTTTTTCACGCCTCTAAAGTTTTGAGGGATTTACTTTCATGACACAAATGTGGTTCAAAAAAAGCAACTTAAGTCTCTTCACCAGCAAATGCAGATTTCCAGTCTTCTATTTGAAGCTAAAAATGTTCTTAGCGTACTGCCCCACGTAATACAACCTATCTCAAATCCTGCCTTGCAGACACACATTTATGCACAGAGACTTTTCCCCCTCTTTCAGGCTGTGACCTACTTTTAGTACATTCCTCCTCTTTCTGGCTCCATTTGAGTTCTCCAGAGACTCTGCTCTTCCAGGGTCAAACTTTTTACAGCCTCAGTGCATTTCATCTAGTGACTGATTCTGTTTTTCTTTGCTCATATGCTAAAAAGAACTCTGGTGGATAATACAAGTGGTTAGTTACTTTTTGTGTTTGTAGCTTAACAAAAGTTTTTTTTTTTTTTTTTTTTTATGGAGTTTGACCTACCCCTCCATGTCCCATCTGGCATGTCATCTTTTTTTTTTTTTTTGACTCCTATTTATTTTTTCTGGCATTCATGTAAAGGTTACTTTAAAAGAAGCCCTACTCTGGATATTGTTTCTTCCATGTTGAAAAACTTGAAACGTTTGTTGCTGATAGTGATTACATTTCATTGTCATCCTCTGGAAGCACACTATAGTAACTTCATAGAACTTGAAAGATAAGCACAAGTGTGTGTGAGTGAGGGATCATTTACATACAGGTGGCACATTTGACTGCGCCTGTAGCCTGGAGTCATTCGACACCCCCTATGTGAATTCAACCATACACAAATCAGTCTGATATGTGCACACCTGCTCTTTGATTTGCATTTGTTTATTACCTTTGTACTAAAATTTAGTTGAACAAAGTGTCCTTTCAGTAGCTGGTCTTTAACACTCTCTCTGCTTTTATCTGTTCCTCCTGTCTATCTCACATGCTGTCACTGTCTGATGATTTCACTTAATGCTTCTGTCTTTTTTTTGGTCTCTGTGTGTAAATCCCAAATGCTTGTAAAAATTCGGGAAAGGTCAGTGTGTGTTTGCAGTTTGTGGCCTTCTCATTCCTATGTGACTCAGTTTGCACGTGTTTAAACACATGACGATAGTTACCAAGAGCTGCTGTGAATGGCTCATTCTTCACATACTCCTCACATACTTAAATTATCTAATCGTGTGTTTTGGCTATATCTGAAGGCCCTGGGGGTCAGAATGGTAAGCAGGGTCCAGAGTTTGATGCCACATCCAAAGATTCACATTCTCCATCTGGACTAAAAATGTGACATTTGCACTCATTGGATCTGACAGCTGTTGTACCGTATATTTACAACTAGATGTCAGTGGTGTCTGCAAAAGGCTATTGGAGGCCGCGTGTTCTGTTAAAGGGTGTGTGCTGATGTGGTTTGAACAAATTCAAGTGCTGGTATGGGAACTGCCACTGGGAGTGCTCACACTCCACCAATAGAGTGAGCAGAGCATCAACGGGGTGAGTGGGGGAGGGGATGGAGGAGAGCAGGGCAGCAGCAGATGGTTTGCTGCAGATTAGGCTGTGTTGCCGCTTTGAAAAGAGGGTAAGATGAAGATAGGAGAAAAGCATCAGATATGAGAGGATGAAATGGGATAAGCCTGGCTTGCCTCACACTGGGATGCTCTGAAAGGGGGATTCTGTTTTAGCACATTAGAAAAATAAAAATCCTGTCTCCATCTCTCAGCTGTCGTGTTTTTCAAAATATGTTATATTTTTTGTTTGCAGTCTACTTTATTTAGTAAATTATGTCATTAATATTTTCATTAGCAATTGTGTGAACATCCCCTAGAGGTGCTGTTACTTAACAAAAGACTGTGCAATGTGTATCTGAGGATTTGTGTGTGGAGAGGAGGGGAAAAGTGGGTGGGTGGATTTATTGCACAGGAACGTGTGTGTGGGTTTCAGCAGATCCGATCCAGATAGACAGCTTTAAAAAGTCACACTCTAATGCTATTACACTAATTAATCCGTCTTACCATCTTGTTGCTCTAAGTGCTGCTACTCTGTTTCATGCACTCTGCTGTTTATGTATGAGAGGCCACCTTGTTTTTGGCCACATTGATTTAATAAGTATTTTTCAACATCTAATCGCAAAACAAATTTCTTTAAACATATATAATTATCTACATTAATCCTGACTAACTTGCCATGATCTCTCCAACGTGGCTGAATCCTGGAAAGTTTTCACACTTTACAACCTTATTATTAACAAGTTGAACTTTGTTCAAATGTTGTTTTCAGTTTAAAAGATCCAATACTCCATGTTGTCAGCTATAACTGGAAAAACAAAGTGCAAGAGAGCATGGGCTCACTACATCTTTTTTAGTTTTCTTTGGGTGTTTCTTGAGACCAAGAAAAGCATATCTAGTAAACAGCCAGTTTACTGTTTGACCTCAGAAGTGTCTCCAGTTTATTTTCACAAGTAGGTTTGTGTGTTTCTGTGCCTCCACGACTGCTTTAAGCGAACCATGTGATTAGAGTAAGTAGAAATATGCCAGATGTGTTCACCCTGAAGAGGAAAACTGCAGCCTGCTTTCTTTTTCTGCTCTTTTGGTGCAGTTCCAGCTCTTGGACATTGAGGGGTGTATGTGCACCACGTAAGACTCAGAGAGTGAGCCTTACAGAGAGACTTTCTCAGACATGACAGGCGACACCACAGACCATCTGGTGCATGGCTTACTGCAGGATTAAACGCTGTGTGTTTGTGTGAGCTTGGCATGTGCTCTATGTTTGGGGGTTGGGAAGGTGACGGCATAAACCTTTAACCCTAAGGCCTACTGCCCCTTTTTCAGAACCATTTGTCCCTTTTCAGAGTCAGAGACGTAATTAAAAGCATCTGTCTGTGTGCTAAACTCTGCCCCCGACTGCTGCCCATGAAGCACACACACACGCACACAGTGGGCACCACATAACCAGACAAAGGTATGAAGCACTTTTGTCTGGTAATGGTCCTCAGACACAGAGGCTGTGCCGAGGATCAGGATGTAAACAAACAAAGCCCACCATCACAGATGACACAAGCAAACATCCACAAACTCCAGATTTATATTCAGTCAGTACAAATTTCAAATGTAGGCTTCAATTACACATAAGTGTAATTGAGGCTTTCGGGGTGTGTCTTTTTAGTTGGGGGTTTATATATTTTCAAAAGATGGCTTCCTCTGACTGAACCATACAGCTTTTAGCAGTGACCGCTTAACTGGGTCACTGCCTATCTGGGTTAATAAAAACCACCACATGTCGGGAACATATATCCATTTTCTATGTATGTGTTTGCAAGTAAGAAAAATGACAACCCAGATAATTTAGCAAAAACAATCTTTTATTATCAGGAAAGAAAACTGGTGCTGATTTATACTAATCCTCTGATTTAGGTTTTTTTTTTATTTTTTTATGAGAATAGATAGATATTTCCATGTACATCCACTTAAGATAACTGAAAATATGTTGATGCATTTCTGACATTGTGTTTTCTTTTTATTTACAGAGGGTGATGAAACTGGTATCATGGATGGCCTGTTGGAGGCGCTGCAGTCAGGTGCTGCTTTCAGAAGGAAGCGAGGACCTCGACAAGCAGGTACCTATTCTCACAAAACATGGTGGTCTTTCAGCTTCCTGTCCTCTCAAACAGATGTGTTTTAGATCTACCGGTCAGAAACGCATGCCACATCTGGGACTTATTTGCTTATTTCCCCTCATTTCACTATGTGTGTCTGTCTCAACACTCAGCAACAGATTTGTTTATCTTCTCCATCTCTGTTGCATGCCTCAGAGGCAGCACGGGTTCGTTCAATTCTTGGGATGTAGTAGCAGAGAACAAAGCCAGTGGCATCAGATGAAAGCACAACAACAAAGTAAAGCCACGAGTGGGTGTGGGCAGCAAAAAATCCAGTGTGGTGAATTATAAAGGTGTGGTCATAGAATAGGAAAATAGAGATTTAAAACTCTGGAAAGAACCAAACAAAATGTGAGTGGAAACTTAAGTAGAAGGACATCAGGGAGTAAGAAATAAGCCACACATGTTACAAATGTTAAGTTTTTTCTTTTATAAAGTGTTATGCTTACTGTGCCAGATTGGAAAGTAATTGTTTCTTTATTTGGCAAAACCTTACTGTTTTGAAATTAGTTTTTTTTGTAAATTATTTACAGTAAGACTTCCTTTCTTACATTAAGCACAATTAATTCTGTCCTACATTAATTAGTAAAATGTCTTTGAAAATCCGTCCTTTAATTAAAAGTATTCATTCAGTGAAGGGGATTTCAAAATTTAAAAAATATATTTTAGTCAGCATTACAATTCTTGACATTTCAAATATTAATGTGCTTGAAGTATTTGTGTGTGTAGAAGTATGAGATAGAGACCAACTTGTCCTAACCACTGTTTAAAAATGAGAAATCCAGGAAAACATGTAATACAACTAAGCCAGATTTATATTGATTTTGCAGAGCTGAATCAGCACTCTGCAAAGTCTATGTGGTCCTTCTCGGGTAATTTAACTCTTTCAGTTCTTTCAATAAGAGTTTGGGTAATTTTAACACTTGAAAAAATTAAAACTACTTGATCTCTTGTTGAAATAACTCTGAAAGAGTTAAATTAATTCTGAAAAGGCCCAACGAGACTCAGCATAGTGCTGATTTATTCTGCCAAATTGGTTGTTTATTCTAAGCAATTATCCAAAAAATTTGAGCAGCAATATGGCTTTCTGGTCAGACCACATCAGTGAAATCAACAATGAACACACTTTGGACAACAACTAAACCTGATTGTTGTTTCAGACAAGCTATGTGTTACCATACAAGTCAGATGATGTCCAGTGGCCATGAACGGCAAGCAAAGGAGATGGTGTGTGTGTTCATTCACATGCAGTTTAGTTTTTGTTCTCAAATTGTAGAGGAGTGTGTGCAACCCAATCTGTCCCTCAATAGAAGCCAGATGTGAAGCTTTGCTACAGCGCAGGGTAGCTCAAAGTTAGAGGGGAGAACTGCGTCGCTTTTTTTCTTGTGATCTGAATTTTTTTAAACTTCATTCTTTCTTATGCTTTCATTTTAATCTGTAAATGTGTTTACATATTGTTGTTGATTTGCTCTTGCAGTTGTGAAACTCATGCTGTGGTCCTGAGTTGACCTCAGTGAGGATATATTTGAGTGCAGAAAGCTCTGCTGTAATAAACAGTGCTGTTGCATTTCTTCCAAATTTGCTGAGGCAAAAGAATGGGGCAAACTGGAGGGAGAAGAGAACGGAAAGAAAAGAAAAAAAAGAAACTGGGGCCCAGTGTGGGGTTCACTCAGTCATCCACAACACTTTTTGGGCACCTAATACTCCTTTACACTGAAACTGTGATCATTTCAGTGAGAGAAAGAAACAAGTTTTCCTCTCTTATTATAGGAGGAAGACACTTTTGTCTCAGTGAATATGGAAGAAATGTAACAGATCTGGAAAGTTTGCGCAGTGTTCGACTGAATGTCTCCTTTTCCACACTGTCCTTTTTACTTACTCTTCCCAAGTTCAGAGTTTTCTGACTCTTTTGAAGCTGGGCTGTGGTTTATTTACAGTCTTTGTGAGAAGTTTATGTTATCCTCAGCCATGTTTAAAGGTCATGTTTTTAGTTACCCATGTTGTGTTTAGAAGGCATGAGGCCAGAAAACCGCTTCACCAACACTAGAGGATGGAATTTTGTTTTTGTGTGGGTGTGTGCAAGTTTTACTGGATGAGTTGAGTCAGAAGACTTTATTTAGTGAAGCTGAAGGATGAGATTTATCTTGATTCTCACTGTGCTGACACATATCTGGCAATATCTGTAAATATGTATATACTTTATTTTTTTTTAAGCCTTGGCTGCTTCCTCTGCGGAATGTGAGTGGATTTTGTAGATTTCAACAACTTAATATAAAAGCTTTGTTGTCACTGGATCACTCAGGATTGTTTACTTAAAATCCTTTTGAAAATCATTGTGAAGTTGGGACATCCTCAGCATTGACAGCTCATAAGAGATTAATTTTCATTTCATGCGATTACTCATCCTTTCCAAACCCTGCTATTGTGAAACATAATATGCATCTCTCCCCTGGGCCAATATAACCAGTGAATGGTTTTACTGCAATCTAATTGCTTGACCCTGAAGCTAAAAGCAATCCTTGATGGTGCAGAATTTTCTCATCATCATATGTGACACAAGCAGTTTCCAAAGGCCCAATAAGTATTTATTTAAGATTTCCTGAAGGGAAGTTGAGTGTTTCAGATATTTTTAAAATTGATTCTTGTCACTTTTTCCATGTTTCAAATGATGACATTTCTCAAATGGAGGCAAACTAGTTAAAGTCAAAGCTCTAGCCAAGACTAAAGTGACATCACTGATGGGCTCCAGGATTTACAACTTGTTTCTGCTACAGAAATGAATGTTTAAGCTTTTCTATAAAGAAGGCAGACATCTTCACATAATAACATTAGACTAATATAAATATTTGACCATCTACCGCTGTCATTTCCGGGCAGAGTTGTCTTTCCCCTGGATTAAATCCTGATTATTTTAATCACTGTAAAGAAGTACATGTCCCGACCCCCAACTATTAAAACAACAATTATTAATACATTTTTTAAAAAGTGTTTGGAAAATTTATTTTAAAGGAGCTAATTGTAGTTTATGCCTTATATCAATTAATCCAATAAAAGTAACCATTTTGTTAAAAACATGCAATTGCTTTTCAATCATATTGCCTCACTGTTGTGCCTCATTTGGAATAGTTGGAGGGCTTGCATCTTTCTAACAATGGCAACATATTGTTACTCTAAACTTATGAATCCGGACTGGATATTTTTCATTTTGTTTCTAATGTCTGTTGGTATGTGAAGAGTTCCTCTCCCCTTTGCATCCACCACTCACAACTGCAGTGACTGCAAACGGCACTGCTGAGCAACAAAAGACCACCAAGGGCCTGTTGAGTGTGTCGCCATGCTCATTGTAACACTGTGGTTTTACTGAATGGTGAGCCACGAGGCAGTGGAGGCAATCTGCCCGCTCACCTTTGACCTGTACCTCTGATCTGGGTTTGTGTGCATGTGGGATCCTCAGCTGCCTCCACTCCGTCTGTCTGCCACCCCCTCCTTTCTAAAGCACAAAAAGACAAAACACACACACGCCAGATGCTCGCATGCCGATACAAAGACATGCAAATGAATGAAGCTGAACGCCCATTAGAGGATGGGCGATTTGTATGCAAAACATCTCAGCTATCAACTTCAAATCTTTAGTTTTTAAATGTTTCTGATATTTTTATATACATTCAGACAAAAGCAGCTCTGAAAAATCAATTATGTGTTCATACAGGATGTTTATGCTTTTTCAGCATTATTTAAGTGTAGATGAGTGTGGGAAAAAGTTAAAAAGTACATGGATTAATACTTGTATTTATTTCTATTATCTAAATGTTATCCTCCTTTTCTTTCTTACATTCTTTCTTTTTCTTCTTCCTAATGCCCTTCCGTCTTTTTGTTCTACCTTGTGCCATTCCCTCTTTCTTTTGTCCTTCCTTCCTGATGCCTTGACTCTATTATATTTGCCTGTGTGTCTTCCTTTTATGTTTTTCTGATGTCTTCACATCCTTGTCCTACCTCCTACCTTCACATCCTTGTCCTACCTCCATTCCTTTCTTATGTCTAACCTTTATTTCCTTTCTTGTGTCTTTCTTGGCTTTATTTTTTTTATATTTTTACAAGCATGCGTACTCTAGAAGTTTTTAGAATATTAATACCAAAGTTAACAAAGAATTTATGACAAAGTAAACACAAAGAAGTCTCAACTTTTTCAATTTGAGTCTGGAAAAGCTTGGAAGTTTTTCATGAGAATAAATAAGAATCCTGTTTAGGATAAATTAAGTGGAGGAATGTTGTGTCTAAACACATTGTAGACCCATCTGCTGGGTCATGACCCTCAGTGCAACATCCAATGATATAGGCGACTTCCTGACAAAGTACCAATCACAACAGAGAGGAGATAAACAGCATATCAACAATAGAGAGACCTTCTAAAGGAATGCTTTCACAGATGCTCCCAAACACCAGCTACCATACAGACGTGTAAAGCTGATCTAGCTGATCGTTGTCCAGCTAGACAAAGATCATCCATGAAGCTGTGACTGAAAAAGCAGTGACATCACATGTGTTAATACCCACAAACACAATGAAATGCAACCATGTACCCCAGTGGCAGAAAATGCATAATGTTCCAGCATCAATAGTTTCCTCAACGGCTTGCAGTGGTGCTCGATGACGTCACTATTTCCCACAATCCTCAGCTGTACAGCAGTAGTGTATTACCCACAGCAGCCTGAGGAGGGAGGTATGTGTCCCTGGTAAAATGAAAACCAAGCTCTGCCCGCATCTGCAGATACACCATTCTCTTAGCTGCATCACCATCATTATGTTGTAGTGTGTTTCTGGGCCGTAAACAGTCTGCACAATACAAAACAGAGGTTTAAACCACATCTTATTCCCTCGTACTTCCAAGAAGTCTAACTTTCCTGTAATCTATTAAAGTGGTTTTTGTTCTTGAATTACAAACATGTCTGAAAAGTTTGTTTTTAAGACATTAATAGAACATTGGGGGACAGAAGAAGTTTTTTAAAAATTCTTATAAATACCTGCAACACAGAAACGTGTCTGAAAAGTGGGGAAGTAAGACATTTTTTAAAAAGCCTTTGAAGATTCTGATCTTTTTGTTTGGTTTTTAAAATGTTTTCAGCTTCTAGCTCCTTTGGAACTCCAAAGAAGTCACCCAGTTGAAGCTAAAATACAAATTTGTAAAAGTTCCCTGTTTTTTTGTTTTTGTTTTATTTTTGCATGACTCCGCTATCAAATTTAACCGGTTCAACAAACAAGACAAACCTCTCTGAAAATAACCGAACAGAATTTGAGTAAAAAAGGAGCCAATAGTTGGAGAAAAAACTTCAAAAGCGCTTTAAGAAAGGCTGAGGAAATGTTGCCCAAGACCGCTGTAAAAAGATTGAGAGATCTGGAAGCATCATTTAAAAATGAAGACAAAAAATTAAAAACTGTGAGTACTATTGCCTACCTGCACAAAGCTGCAGAGCATCTCCCATCCAGATCCGTATTAGTTAACGCAAGAATCACAAGACATTGTACAGAATCCTGTACAACCTCTCTCATCAGGTGCTCATTAGACCGTCTCCTGCAGTGTAAAGTGTTGCAGACTTTTTTCACTCGGCTTTTTGTGCCACAAAGCTCCCTACAGTGTGCAAACATTCATCAGTAAACAGACCATCAACAGCCTTCATCAGCCCAATAGATCCTGCAAATGTGCCAGCTGCATGGAACATTTAGTCCACATCCGAGCTGTTGACCATGTTCAAAATGCATGCACCTTGTTTAGCAATGCATGATGAAATACTGCAAAGAGTTTTGTATTACAGTTCTATAATAGTGAAAGACCCATAAATGGTTTTGTAATTGAATAAAGTTTGACATTTGTCAAGATGTAGTTTATCTTCTCAGTTTAGATGCCTCTTCTTTTTACAGGTTGATTAATAACCTAACCTGAATTTATGTAGTTAAAACATAATCTTAATGTTTGGAATATGACTCAGTTCTTAGTAGTTTGAGCTGTAACACCACAGGAAAAAGCAGCTAATACATTATTTTTTAGGCGACATATTTGAAACTAATCAGTCGATTTCCCTTTTATAATTTAGTGTTATTTTCCTTTTGGTGCTTTTTCAAATTGTCTCAGTCCTGACAGCAACACATAGTTGCTTCTATGGAAAATTTCAGACATTTTCCATGTTGGGAAATGTCTGAAATTGAAAACCAGTCAAAACACTAGCTGTAGTCTGAGTCTTTTTGTTTTCCTCTGTGTTATGTAAGTGTGAACCACTTAATGTAAATTAGGTTACGACTGTATGTCTTATCATTGTAATATTCTGTTAAAGTTCAGCGCCTCAATGCATTTGAGAGAAACACCAAAATACTTTCAACATATTTCAGATCGTCATATTTCTCTTCTTCCATTGAAACATCAGGTTTTTTTTTGTCTGAATGTGTCTGTTTCCCATGCTGCTTCCTCTTCCTCTCCTCCTCGGCTCAAGAGGAAGAAGAGGAGGAGGGTGAAAGAAGAGAAGATGCTATGACGGCCTTTGAAGAACTTTTTCTCAACGGGTTTCAACATGTAGGACAAGTTCGTCGCACATGAAGTCAGCCACACCAACATGTGCCGTTTCTCATGGTTTTTGGGTCATTTGCATAATTTCTAATTAGCACATTTATGAGTAGGAAGGGGTTGAATTGGCTAAAAATAATGAGAGAAGAGAGTGTTTATGATGGGGGAGAAAGCTGTTTCCCACAGGAAGGTGATTGTTGCTACATTAGCTGTTGTGCTGTTTATTTAAACTGATATATGTATATACATAAAAAAAAAGATTACAGGCCTAAAACTTGCAGCTTTGGATTCATACATGTTCCTCCTCTCTTTCTGTAGACTCGGTTTTGTCTCTGTCGCAGCTAGTTCTGGAACCGTGCTCGGTAAATCTGTGTGGAGTTTTTTTTTGTGTGCCGTGTTGCTTGTTAAACCATGGTTCATTTGCATGCCTATTTTTACTTATAGGACTGATGTTTGCTTTTTGGTTTTGCATTGTTTGTGTGAGGAGTGAAGACCTCTAAACATTCACCTGGTGTAAAATAACAGCAAACACACAAGAGCAGTCTTCCACTGACCTATATAGCTCAAAATGGCTGCTGCTTTACAGCTGTACTCCTACGCAGAAGAGTAAAGAGCGGTAAAGAATAGGCGGAGGAGAGGAGCGATAAGGCAGCTGCTGCTATGTAAGGAGATAACTGTGAGCAGGTAGATGAATAAAAAGACGGCATCCTCAGGGTCCAATCCGTCATACTTATTCTCTTTATAAAATTATTTCTGTCAGCTCTCATCATCCCTCTCAGCTTGTTCCTTCTCTGACTCAAGTCTCTGTAGCCATTTCCATCTCATTTTCATTCATCCCTCTGTCTTTAATCTTCCCACAGCATGAATCATCCTTCTGTTTAAACCCGCTGCCTTACCTCTTGGATTTTGCATACATCATTTCTGTTTGTTCCTCTCAACAACTCCACTTTCTCTTCACCCACTTCTGTCTTATTTCATTTTATTCCTTTATTTTGCTTCACTGCATGAAGAGCAGATTGACTTTGATCTAACAATAGCACTAAGTTATATTACATTCATGTGCTTCTCATACAAACCATATTGGGCTTCTGTCTGTTTAGATTAAGTTGAGTTGTGAAATTTCTTTTTGACCTGCTCTTTTAAGTTATCTCTGAATACAGTGCACCTCTCGGGTTCCTATACGATTGGAAAAATGTTTAGGAACCCTGGGGAACACCCTTTAATGTTGTTTTTTTTCCATTTCATTTTTTTTATTTCATTTACTCAATAAATATGAATAGTTCATTCAACAACTAAAAGAATGAATGAAAAGGAGCAAGAAGGATAGACTTTTATCTGCCCCCCCAAACACCCCTTTTACACCTCAAGAGAAAATTAGCTATTGAATTGAGAGGACTTAGACATATTTCAAAAGACAAAAAAAATTGCAATAAAACATCAGCTTATTCAATGTCATATCACTCCATTAGGATTTTCACATTTATTAAGTATAAATAGAGATTTAGGTTGTTTTTTTTTTTTAAATCTCACTGTTGTTTTCCTTTCTCAGCCAACCACCGGCGAGCTGGTCATGCAGTGACCAACATCCTGGCCAAAGAGCTGATGCAGGAAGACACAACTTCATCCAGTAAAATCCCCAAAAAGAAGGCAAAGTCTGAAAAGGAGGAGCCAAAACTAGAAGGAGCAGAATCCTTGGAGGAGCTACTGGACCCTGTTCCTTCTCGGTCTAATTAGGCCTCCAAGTGCTGAAGTTAAATTTTTTATATATATATATATATTGAAAACAGATTTTTATCCAATCCAGAGGCCAACAGCAACATGGTATTTTCTTGATCCCTTTGCTTGCATGGATTATTTTCAGGATTTCTTTCCTGTTCTGAGTTGGAGAGAGGCAGAACCAGAGGGCCAGGCTCTCGGCTCAGCATCAGCTTCTGAATGTTTGCCAATTTCTTTCATCAGCATGTACCTAAAGGTTAAAGTTTTGATCAAAGGGTGTTTCCCAAAGATTTCCTCAGGACTGAATCACTTCCTTTTATTTCATGTCAGGATTTTCCTATCAGAAATTACGGCTTATTTCCAGAACGTCTGTACAATAGAAACTTCCTATTTTTTTTCCAACAAGGTAAAACATACTTCTTTGTAACATTTTGCGATACTGTGTGTCTGTAATACTTTGTCCACCTGTTTTATTGAAGTGCCAACAAGTCTTATAATTTCATTTGCTAATGTAGTCTGGTGTAGTTCCCACTGCAGAGAGCAAGTGGACCAGATCATTACGCCTTTACCTGAGTTTATTTTGTGGACAGGATTTATCTCAATGGTGAGCATCAAATGGTTATTTTGTACAAATAAAAATGTAGACCACAACCGAAACTGTAATGAGCAGTGAATTTATATGGAAACCAAAAATATTTTTCAAAGTGTGGTTTCATACAGAGTAGTTTGCATTCCTCTGTTTTTTGTATACAAGAAAAACTTGTGTGAAATTATCCACTTATATTTAGTTTTGTGTGCACAAATCTGCATGCACGTGTGTGTCGGTGTGTGTGTGTGTTTGCTTGCAAGTTTCAGTGTTTGCGTGCACATGCGTGTTGCCATCTGTAATTACTGTACAATACCAACCGGGCCGTCATGAATGATGATCTTGTGGTCTTTCTGCTGAGAGTATAGCACACTGGAAAACAGCCCAGAAACTGCTGAGACAAGTATCTGTGTTCACTTGTTAGTCTGTCTGTTCTCCCACTGAACTGCAGCCGTCGTCTCCGGATGTCTGGCCCCGCTCCTGTTTGTATTCTGCAGCCTTGAGCAGACATGCTGCCATGATGTTTTGGTGTAAGACCTGACAGGAAGCACGCCAGGTGATGTCAGCTGCTCAGTGCAGCGTCTCCTCCTATGCAAATCCTTCAATGTATCCTGCAGCCCAGCTTTTTATAAGTCAGTCAGTGCAGCACTGAAATGGTATGTTCTGTGAAAATGAATGTTTTTTTTTTTTGGAGGGGGGAGGGTTGTTTATTTTGGGAGAAAGTGGCACTTAAAGGTCATGATAATGTCTGAATCTGGAGCTAGTGCTTTATTTTAATCTTGAAACAGGAACTATCCACCTGCATAAAACATCTCATTGCTGTAATTAAACCGATGTAACTGCTGTGTTAATGATTTTCTGTGTTCAGGGAGGCAGCACTAGATTGTAAGCTTCCAACAATAGGAACATCAGAACACCACTGGAATATTCTGCCTGAGTTACTTCTTTTTTTTCTGTACCTTTTTTTTTTTTTTTTTTTTGGTCTTTCTATAACATATATTGTTCTCAATAAACTCACAATAATTTTAATGATTTTTTTTTCAGCAATTGCTTTACACAATAAGAAAATGCACATTCCTTCTGTAATTTTGAATTAAAATGTCTTAAATTAAAGTGGCCGCTCTGTTTTGTGTTTTATTTTTATTTTTTTATTTATTTGTTTTTGCCTGGTGATATTTTCTACCCACATACTTTCCTGTTTACTAATAGATCTTTTTTTGGGCTCTCAGTAAATTGATTGTGACATGTTTTTTGCAGCTCTGCTTCTCCCTCTCCTGTAAACACATTGTGCTGTGAAATACTATCCAGTCACTGCAGTCTGGCCTTTTGTAACTTTATGGCCAAAAGGCAGCACAAGAATGAATAAACAGTGGAGTTGATTATTTCTGCAGATAAATCCAAGGATTTTCCAAGTCTCCAGTGTTTCCAGAGAGATTTTTCCAACGTTGATTGCCAGTATCCAACAGGAAAGCCTCCTCTTTGTGAGTGTATGTGTGCAGTGAGATATGGAAAATTACTCTGCAGTGTTATTGATACATGATTTTTTTTTTTTCATTTTTAGACGTTTCAGGGGGGGGGTGTTTGTTTTTTTTACTGACACAATATTTTTTAAAGCCAAAATACTTATGTGGCTCAGTAGAGCAAAACTTAGTTCAGACCAGCAGGCTACACAGGTTTAGCTGGCTTTTATGTCTAGATGCAGCTCTCATTGTGTATAACCTTACTTTGGCTGTGATTGAAGAGTTGAGGGGCAAAATCGGAAAAAGCATTTTTCACTTTTTCTCCATACCCAATAAATGCATCAAAACTTAAGAACTTCCACCAGTTTAGTATAACAAGCGTAAATCCAACAGGAGTATAAAGTTTAGTCATTTGTCGTAAGACATGGATAATCTTGTAACTCCATTTTCTTTTGGTAAGACGTGAGTTATGACGCAAAGAAACTGTAAATCTGATTTTTGCTTGAGTTCTTTTAAAAACAAGGGATTCAAGCAAAGCCTGAGTGGTGCAACTTTAGACTCTCTCCAACACAACATCCTAAAGTTTTCTGTCAGCTACACAATTGTAGGCAGTTTCAGTCTAGAGTCACATTCTGCAGCTCTTTAAAAATTCTTTTGTCTATTCACAAAAACTAAAGAATCTCCAAATTTAGAAAAACAACATCCTAATTCTTTAGTGGGAATATCTAGAAATAAAACTATTTATTGAAGATTCTGCTAGTGGAGGATTGCACATATTTTTTTTTCTGCAGGTTGCAACTAATTTCTGTACATGTGCTTTCTATTCTAGATAGGGTTACATATAAATGCTGCCTTGTTCTCATAGATCCTTAGCCAGAAAAACTGAATTCAGTGTTACATTCTTTGATGGGTTTTTTTCAGACCAGACTGTAAATTCTGCCGTCTTTGCGAAGCCCGGCTCTCTCGCTGACATTTACGAGGCTGTAAATGTACAGAGAAAACTCAGCAAAGCTACATGGATAGATGCGAGTCCAGTTAGAAGGTTTTAAAATCGCAAAACCCTTGTTAAACTTAGAATTTGTTTTAGGAATGACCCATTTTATACTCAACGCCAGTAATAATTTTAAAAGTGTTCTTCAACAGCACATGTTGTCATGCGGTTTTTGCTGTGCCAGTCTTGTGCAATGTGAGTCTTGTGCATTTCAGAACTGTTACAGTAAACATCCTGGAGACGTTGACTCGCGCTCTCATATTTCTCCCATGCATTCCTCAGGGACCCAAAGCTTCCTTTCACCCAATTAGCAGGACCAGTTAACACCACCAGAAAAACCACAGCTTCCTTTAATCCTTTATGACCTCCAGTTTGGCTCACAAACTTGAACGCCAGAGGGCAGGAATCGTTCTGGCCCAACACTAAAGACCATTTTAAGATAATATTTAATAAATTCCTTCATTTTAAGGTTTTCTGGTCATGCAAAATTCTAAAATCAGTTTTTAAAAGTTTGCTGTTTTTTTTACTCTGAACTGACATTACTCATGAACCTGATTGCAAGCTATTGTGCATTTCACAGAATTTCAAAATTAATAAACTCTTTGTTGAACGTGTGCCTCCTTCACTTGACATAAGTCGTTTCTCAGCAGCATCAGCCAGTTTCTACAACCGTTGATCCTAACACAACCCTTTTAAAAGCGTTTTCTGACTTTTTGAGCTCCCGTCTCGGTTTTCCCAGCATGTTGGAGAGTAAAGGGTGTGGCACCAAACCTTCATGCCACTTAAACTTACACACTGCCACTTTTAGACGTCTCCCAGAAACATATCTATTCCATGGCTTTATTTTACTGCCCTGTCTTACAATAAAATCCATAAATAGTCTTAATTGCTACAAATTTGAAAGCCTGAAGTGTATTTTCACATTCTAATTAAAACCAAAGGTGGGTAGTCTGGGATTTTTTTGTTTTAAGATTTTATTCTCTAGTTATTAGTTTTGTCAAAATTATTAATGTTCATATGTTCAAATATGCTAGACTTTCACAAGGCATCTGATTTTTTTCTTCTAACAAGATGGCCTTACAGGGCAAACGAGACAAATATAGGCAACAAGTGTAAGATGGTACTGAGGAAAAAAAAAACAATTTAGGGAGAAAAACTTAAAATACTTGAAGTATTTATCTTGCAGCTCCATTATTATTTATCATTTTTATTCTAATAGCTTTCAGATCTGAGGGTTGACAGGGATCTCTGTAGGAGTCTCATTGCTATGAGTTTCAGGTCCTCCTGATTCCCAGACTCCATCATGACATTCTGGGGAGCTAGAGGAGATTGGTATGCATGTGTCAGTCTGCGTGTGTTTGTGTGTGTTCATGGTGTTAAAAGTGTGAAGGGGGTCTATGAGAGAAAAGAGCTCCGAATAGAAGAAAAGGGGGCAGTATAATTAGCTTTGGCAGTGCCAGACGACACAATGACAAGGCATTGATAGAGGAATGAACTCCGGGGAGCAGGGGACCAATGGAGGAGCAGGAAGCTGTTTTTCACGACCTCTGATTGGCCGAGCCAGCGAGGCTGTCGGTCTCCAGGTAGCAAAGTGAATCTGCCACCCTTCCTGGAGGAGAGAGGGAGGGAGCGCTGGAAGAGCTGCGACCTCAGCTGTGGGGAAAACAATGAATTTACATAAACAGAACATGTGATGTTTTATGCTCTGCGTCATTGCTTCTCCTAGTTCCTTGTTCCTACTAGACCAAACTCCCATCAGTCAGATTTCTCCTTTAACCAGTTTGGATTTTTTTGGCTGCCATTAGTGTCACCTTGGCAGGGCCTCTGAAATAAACGTTTAGTTTATCTTTAACTTGGCCGTAAACCCTTCAGTGGTTCTTTCTCTCTCAGTCTGTCTCTAAGAACTGTGTAGTTCAAGCTGGATGTCGTTCAGCATTCCTGCTGCTTGGGAGGAGAAATATACACCAGACTGGCATTTAAACTCCAACAAAACTGACTTTTACTGACTACTAATGAAGCCAAAAAGGTTTGTTCTTACTACATCGTTAGCATGCATCAGTACATGTCTATCCTTATCCCAGCTCTTCACACATCTGGAAAAAAATGTCTCTTATTGCATAAAAATGTTTCACCAAACTGTAAAATCATTTTTTTCATTATTAATGAAGCAAAATGAAAGTATTTCAAGTTTTTTTTTCTTTTTATTGTTTTTTATTACAGTTGCCAAACTTGGAGTAATAGTTCTGTTGAGCTACCCGCATCATCAGCTCTCAGCAATAATAACTTTATGGAATTTTTATGAATAAATCTGATTGTTTTGAACATTCAAGCATTTGACTTGGATGTCGGAGACCCTGCCCCAACCAAAAGAAATGTTGCTTTTGAATACTGCCCACATTTAACATTTGATTGACCTATCCTCGGTAAATAACAGGTCAAACGTGTGACGTGTGAAGGGAGTTCACACCTCTCTGTAATCAAACCTGTACTTGAGAAACAAGATTATAAATTAATTGCATTGACTCAAATTGGAATATAACTGACTGAATTTCCGTACACCATATAGACTTAAATAATTCAATTCATTTCAACTGAATTCTATAAATTTGAATGAGTAGATTTGTTGTTGCGTTGAATTTGCCTTCGAGTGAGTGACTAAACTCCTGCCACTGCATCTCAATCTTTTCCATTTAGTCCTCCTGCATCAACCATTATATCTTTATGATTTCAACATGATGATCTGATTACTCGGTTGTTTGTAAAACATCCTCCATGTGACACACAATTAACAATTAATTAAAATGGAACCAGCAGTGTCAACCGATTGGTTGTGCTGCTGCACCTGTGAGTGACATCTCCATCATCTCATGGCGGCCGGTCGTCACCCTGAAGCAACAGGATTCAAGCCCAGACACCTTCTCTCTGACTCATGCAGGAATCTGTCCATCTCGATTTATTTACAGTTGAGCTGCTTCGACTATTCCTGTAAATATTATCATTTTCTCTAATTGTGTGGCCGTTTTAAAAGTCTTGTGCTTGTCATTTAATTTCTGTCTCTTTGTCCTTCATTTTCTCGTTGCTCACACAACTCTTCCCCTGAAACAAAAATATTTCTGCTGAGGAAACATTCATATCATCCTGCATTTCAGCACAAACGTCTGCAACTGACATCATGTTGGGAAGAGGCCTTTGATCACTAGCGGAACAAGTCAGAGTCAGGCCGGTCATTAACCCCAACTATAAATAATAAAGCTTGTGACAATTTAACTTTACAACATAGACATGCCCGCAAGAGCGGATCTTACAAGTTTCACCACTTCAGAGAGCGACTATGTCATTCTGAAATCCATCTGGCATGAAGTACAAACCAAGGGAACAACAGAAACATCAGGCTGCTGGTCACTGATAATGAAACAAGACAAATTCAATAGTGATCGGATCATTTTAACACTTTATTAATTTCAGCTCAGAGCCTGAAGCCTGGTTCACTCCTTGAACACAATCACATCCAGATAGAAAATGTTTTTTTTTTAAAAAAAAAAAAAAAAATGGTTAATTATGGTCTCTCCTGTGTTTTGGCCTGTCTCATCATCCATGGATTATTTTCTGTGATGCCAACTGGTTAAATAAAGGAGGAAGTAGATCTTCTTGCTGCCTTCACTGGCATGATGAATCTTTGGAAAATATCACATGAAATTTTTGTTTTACCTCCACCATGTCTCAATTTTTGCAGTGCTCCTTCAAGATGACAGTCACCTCAATTTTTTTAAGCATCTTCAGATATGCCACATATTAACAGAACACCTTCTCACTGTAGGTTTAAATCATCGCAAGATCAAGAAATGAGGGTAGGGCAGCAACCATCAATACGCACCGGAGGTTACAGAGCCATGCTCATCCACATAGTGTTGCTTTTTGCTGCCCTTTGATTTTCTCACAATCACACAGGCTGTCAGTGATCCCTATAAAGCCTTTACATGTGTAGCAAACAAATAGTGTGGGCACTAACATCTTGTTTACTATTATACTCAGTAGCATTGTAGATGCAACAAACCTGACATACAACTTTTCCTATGCA